AGTCACTTGATTGCTTGCTTTTAGCAACCAACAGCGACACCGATACATCAGTTGGAGATGATCATGGGATCTCCATGATATTTCCATTATTCAGGCATTTTCACTCCCTCTTCCTGTAATAAAATATAAAATAAAAATAAAATAATAAAATATTTATTTATATCCATATTTACATATCCATCACCCACAACTCCCACATCTATATTCATTCATATCCATGACCTATACCTCCTATAACTCTTACATGCACATTTCTGTATTCAGTTTATTTTATATTTTAGTCAAATTCAATCATTCTCTTTCATCTATCCATTTTTATTTTATCTACCTATCGTTTCTTAGACTAACTCATCCTTTTCATTATTATATTTTGCAAGTTTGATGATCTGCGAAAATCATATTATCTTCTCCATTATTACAATTTCTAAGTTTGATGATCTATAAAAAATTATTACAAGGTTGGTGTAATATGATTTCGTACTTTATATCTTTGTGTAAATATATTTTTTTTCCTAATATTTTTCAATTCATCTACACATCTTTTCATCTTCTCCATTTTTATACTCCTAATATTATTTCTTACTTTATATGCATTTTTTAGTGTTTAAAAACAAAGTACGATGAGACAAACATAACCAAACCCCCCTATTCTACTGTTATTATTGTAACCAAGCACTCCTTCACAACCAAACACCTCACTCCACCACTCCACAACAAGGTGTATATGGTACACACCCTTTGAGGGGTGTGTTCTATTGTCTTTCCAATAATAATAATAATAATAATAATCATAATAATAAGGGTCTTGCTAATAAGTGCTTCTAGGATACAAGTAAAAGACAAAAACTTTGAAGAACACAAGATATTTTTTACTAAGGCTCCGTTTTTTCAACATAAAATATTTTACACAAAAAAATATTTTTCTTATAAATTGATTTTACACAGAAAAAGTTTTTTATTTTTTGGCGTTTAGTTGACACTTGAAACAAAAAATGTTTTATTACCTAAAAGAGAAATTTTGATTCAATATATTATGATATTTTAGTAAGCTAAGATATTTATTTGAAAAGACTAAGGCTTCTTTTAGGAAGATAGAAAAAAAAACCACCTTATTGATTTATTTTGAACACATTACCTCTTTATTTTTTAAGGGAAAATTGGTCTAAGGTCCCTATCCAACTTTTAGTATGAGGAGAGATCCACAATAATATTTTCTGGTGTCTAAGGTCCCTCAACGTTAGTTTAGTTTATAAAATACCTATTTTACCCTTTTGTATATTATACGTGGTTTTCAATTTTGGAATCTGAAGATTACGTTACTATTTTTGTGGAAGATTACTTTGGGATGAACTTGGTGAGAATTTGTTTGCTCCATATTTTGTGTCAAATATAGAATAGTATTATTATGATGAGAAATTGTGCTGATCAACTTGTATACACTAACGGAGAGCCAAATATATGTATTTATAGAGCCAAAGCCTTGGGACTTCTTCGTGTTTTTTTTTTTTATCGCCAAATTATGCAGGTAATTCTTATATTTTGATCCTTATGCTATTTGGTATCTGTAATTTTAATTGGCTCAATTTTAATATAAAATTTATGATTGTCTCAATTTGATCAAATTAATTTCAACTTTTAATATTTTTAATGAAAAATGTGCACACAAACATCATGTGTCATGCTTTTATATAAAAATTGTAAATTATTCAACTTTGTGAGTTGACCTGAACAAACTCAATAGCCATTTTCTTTTGAAAATCCTAGTTTTTTTTTTTCTTTTTTCATTTTCAAATCTTGTTTTCTTTATTTATTCCATCCCAAACTTTTCTTCTCTAGGTTTTGCTGCCTTTTTATTTCACACTCAATATATGGTCAAAAACAGTCTAATACCATGTCGGCCTAATTTCCATATGTTCTCAGATTTTTATTGTTTAATTTTTGTCACAAGAATTTTGGTTAGGCTTTATACTCTTTGTTTCACTTGGGCTTTACATTTTCACATCCTCTTATTTAGGAGCTTTCTCTTTTACACTCACTGATGATCCACTTAACATCTCGAGGTTCTTGACTCACGTGAAATTCTATTTCCACTTTAATGACAAACTTTCCATATGATATTGAACTAAATTAGTTATTTTGAATTTTTCATGTTATCATTGTTGAGTGATCACATGAGTTGAAACTGACCCTCTCCAACGTTGCAGCGGCTAACATGGATAGCCTTGAGACATGCTGGTGCACCACGAGGGCAGCCAGAGACCATCGAAACAGAAACAAATTCAAATGTCGAGGCCTTCAAGGATAGGATTAACACTCTCCTGTTGGTGGCAACAATTATTATCACTGTAACCTTTGCGGCTGGTATCACTGTTCCAGGTGGATACGACGATTCTGAAACTCACAAGGGCATGGCACTAACATTATCATTGAGAGAGGAGTTTGGTGAGAGTAATATTTTTATCGGGGGAGATCAAAATCTGGTAAAATTAAAAATTTAAATTTTTTTGCGTGTTTTCTTGTCAAACTTGAGGTTAGGATTTTCTTTAAGTTATATTTATATTTTTGCAAGATCTAAATGATTTTAGAAATCATCATTTGATTTGTTTTAAAAAATGGATTATTGATTCAAGAAGGTGAATGATTTTGAAAGTGGGTTTACTTCATTTTTCTTTCTAAAAATAGAAATTTATATTTTTGAGCTATGTTGATGAAAGAAAGATGTTTTTAGTGAGATCTTCTCAAATATTTGAAGATGAATGGTTTTTTGTGAGAAACCTAGAAATTGAGGATTTTTAAAAGAGATTGAATATTGGACAAATAATATTTGTTGATTTAGATATATATAGCGATCCATTTTTTTTTAAATTTAAAAAAAATTAAATATTTTAATAAAGTAAAAAAAATTAAACATATATTTATTGAATGAAATATAATATTTAAAATAAAAAATAAAAAATATTTAAAATAAAAATTATATATTTAAAATAAAAAATATATATTTAAAATATTTTTAAAAAATACAACACACAGATGTATAAAATATAGTGCATATTAAAAAAAAAAAGTATTTAAAATATAAATATTTACCCTAAAAAAATAAAATTAAGAAATTTTTTTAAATATTTAAAAAATAATTAAATCCAATAAATTTCAAAAAACAACTTAAAATTCAAAATATAATTCAAAATTCTTTTCAAAATTCATAATCAAACAAATTTTTTTTGATTTTTTTTTAAAAATGCTGTTTTGAAAAGAAAAAATTTGTTTGGTTATGAGTTTTGTAAATAGTTTATTTAAATAAGTATTTTTTTGACTTTTTACAAAAAAAAATGTGTAGAAAAATAAAGGTGATTTGACCAAAAAAAAGATAAAAATATAAAAAGTGTACTTATAGTATACCCCAAACAAAGGTAGAATGTGAGAGGAGAGATGATAGATAAAAAGTAATTTATTGATTGATTAATAATAATAAAATAAAAAAAGAGAAGAGAGGAGTTTTAAAAGTAATTTTAAGTTGTATTTAAAAAACATATTTAGTTAATATATTTCATCCAAATCATGATTTTAAAGCAAAATTGAGTTTTAAAAAGTAAACCAAACTGACTTTTAATTTTAATTTTTTAGAAAAATTTTAAATTGAGTTACGAATTTTAAAAATAATTTTTGAATTTAGTGGGATATATTTTTGAGTTTGGAAAAACAAAAAACGCATGCTTGAATTTGCCCATGACCGAAAAATGCTTGGGAGCACTAATTAGTGCTCCCACTAATTGGTAGCAGTGGGTCCCGTCATTAATGATGTGATGTTTTGGTCTTGAAGTTGTATTTTTTTTTACTTTTTTAATATATTAGTGCTATTAGTGGTGATATTTTTAATGGGATGAATCATTGTTGCCATGACCACACAATAATTGTCCTTGTGCACGTGACCATGAATGCACCTCTCCGCCTCTCACTCGCGCATTAACCTTCATCCAAAACAACGCGGCTCGCGTAAAACAATTTCAAATTAAAGACAGAAACAAAACCTAATCATTTCACCGAAATTTCACTCTTATTTCATCTACTGCTTGTTCAACGCGTCACGTGAATCGGATCACCTTCCCTTCTCTCTATAAATACCCAACTCTCTTGCTCCCATTTTTCTTGCTTTAGACTCGGAGGTGCGAGGAGAGAGAGAGTTTGGATCTTCTCTTCTTGTTTGCTGGTGAGTTTTTCTTGGGTCCCTTCTCTTCTCTCTTATATTGTTGTAATCTTTTTGTATATATCTGTCTATGTGTATGTATATACACATCATTTGGTTCTTCTCAAGCTCACTCTGTTCAGTTTTTGTCATGTATGTATGTGTTTACTTTATTTGTGTTTTTGTTGATTTTTTCCCAATTTGGTTTCTAGGGTTTTAGCTGTTGTCTCTTTGTCATGTTCTTTGACTTTTGAAAGACACTCAAATTGGAGATTTTGGTAGCTCTATGTTTGCTCCGTGTAGCACTTGTTTTGTGTGCTATACTGTTAGTTGGGAAAAACTGGTGATGCGTTTATATTGTTGGTCATTTATTGTTCTTTTATGGGGTTTTTATTTTTCTCTTCATATTTAGAAAATTATAAATGTCATTGAAAGATTATGTATAACAATCACAGTTTCCACGAAATTTTACCTGCAATTTTACCATGTAAGTGAAGTGTAGGGTTTAGATTTGAAGTTAGTTTGTTGTGGGCCATATTCATAATGAATCTTGTTCAAATTTTTAATTCCGGGTAAAATTTTGGGTAATTTTTCTGGGTATGTTGCACAACTAAGAAAGAAAACCATCATTGTGAATTTGTAATGAATGAGATTATTCCTGGGTATGTTCATGTAGAGGATTTTTTTTTTTTTTTTTGAAATTATTTACGCAGATCTAATATGTTGATCCCACTGTGAGACTATTAAGCCCATTTTTTGGCCCCATCGAATGGAGTAGTTGCATATACTTTCATTGGCCATGATTTTTATTTAGGTTGATCTCAGCTCCCCTTTTCTCACTCTGTCATTTACTTTTTTTCTCTTCTTTTGTGGCATGATGAGAGAAACATAGATATGGTACTCTATTGGGCCTCATATGTTACACCTGAAGCTTTCAAATATAATGTAATCTCATTTAGGTATGTGAAGAAGCTGCATTATTGTTGCAGAATGCGCATAAAAAATTATCATCGTTGTTTAAGTAAAAAATAATAGTTTTTTAGGAACTATCGTCACTGTCATCATATTCCTTAGAGCCACAGGTCCCTTTGCATTGAACTTACATTTTCTCATATTGTGGTGGGCTCTGCAGAACATTTTTGGGGCAAGGCTTTTTGGATTGTGGAATCGTCATAAAGATCTGTTTAAGTTTGCTGATCTAAGGAAGAGATGGAGGTATTTGGCAAATCTATGGTATCCGTGCCTACAAATGTTATTTATTTGTCAAGTATTCTGGGCCAAGATGGTTCAAACCCTGTCCACAAGTGTGATGGGAAATGTGAAAATGAACATGTATGTGGAAACATGTTCCGCTGCAGACTAACAGGACTCACACATATCTGTGACAAAAACTGTAACCAGAGAATTCTCTACGATAACCATAGCTCCCTTTGCAGAGTGAGCAGGCAGGTTTTCCCTCTAACACCGGCTGAGCAACATGCAGTGAGAGGTGTCCGGAGAAAGATTGATGATGAGAGTTCTGCTTCTGATAGCTGTGCTTTTAAGCGCAGAAGGGATGCACAATTCCATCCCTCTCCTTTTGAGAGATCGTTCTCTGCTGTTAGTCCAATCTGCAGTCAAATTGGAGATGGCATGGACATGAGCTAGACTTTAATAATTTTAATAAACTATCTTCTTATTCCTATTTTCCTTTTTCGATCTTTTATTTTTCATGCGGCAAGAATGGATAACGGAACTTGATGCGGCAACATTAATGGAGGACGTGATGTGTCCTGTCCTGTCTGTCTGTCTGTAGGAGCAACTTATATTCTGAACTTGTTTAATGGATTGTATCTTCTAAACACGAGCTGGACTATTTATAGGATCTTTAACAATGCTTTATGTCTTCTAACTTTTTTTTTCGGGGTTCTCTATAAAGCTCGAGGTCTACTTTTGTGCTGTGCCAAAGCTTGAACTCTGACAAATACAGAGTTCTTTTGCAATACCTGACTCAATGTCTCCGTTTGATGACTTTCAATTCTTTGTGTGGGTGCCTTTGTATGAGCATGTTTCTAACGTGGTTGTATTTTGCACAATGCGTTAGTGATATGTTGCTTATTTTGTTGTTTAATTGTAATTTGTCATTTTCACCCCTTGAAGCAATTTGCTTTTTAGTGGCTTGCTTTATTTATCCGTCGACTGTGATCTCTGTAACCTTATCTTCAAGAGGATTATTGTTACTTGGATATTGGGAAATTTTTTAAGGTTCGCTTATGCTCTACAGGTTTTCCAGTACAAATGAAGCACAATTTTGGTTTGTATCTGGTAGAAAATTTATCTTAAGTTACCATTGATTTACTTTTCCAACTATTTTTCAGGTTGAAGAGGAACGATCCAGTTTCTTTCCTAGTTTACGTTTTATTTTTTTCTTTTGTTTGTTTCTGCTTCTACCATGCTGATTTTGATATATGGTTTCCTGAAGCTAATGTTATTTTTGCAGGGTTGAAGCATGTGCCATTCAGGAGAGTTGAAAATAGCTTGTTGCTTTCATGATTGAATCATTCTATTTTTTAAGTTAATTAAACTAAAAAGTGGCACATTTCTAATGTCATTTTTTTTTATTGTTTGCGCAGGGATGGAAATTCTGCTTTTTGCTTGCTATGGGGAACAGTGGTGCACTGAAGGACACTGATGAAATGTGGAAACGCAATTGCTGTGAAACCATTCACATCACGGTGTAGGCCAGACCTCCTAAATCTTTGTCTTCCTCAGTTACTAGTCCTTGGTTGTATCCACAAGCCAATTCATGTCATGGATTCTCATCAATCCAATTCCAGTTCCAGCTCTACTTTATACATCTTCGACCCTCTCGTAAAACTAGAAGCTGCCTACTACAACGAAGGCTATAGCGAGGGCTAAAATGACAGCTTATCATCTGGGAAAGATGAGGGATGCCAAGAGGGTCTCAAGAAAGGCTTGGAAGTAGGCAAGGAACTAGGGTTTTTTAGAGGCTGTACTGATGTATGGAACTTCACAATCCAAATCAACCCGACTTGTTTTTCGTGGAGGGTTCAGAAAAGCATCAAACAGATGGATGAAATGGTTAAGAACTACCCAATGTGGGAGGAGCCCACTGCCCAGTACTTTATTTTAAGGCTCTTTGAGGGCAAAGTTTAGGGCTATTTGTGCCATATTGAAGGTGAAGTTGGAGCATAATGGGTACCCAGAGGCTTCAAATGTCGAGGATATTGAGTTTTGACATGTTTCGAGTTTTATTATTGTGAAATTTTGCTGCGATATGCGATGCGAACCAAACAGGACATTGCACATTGCGAGCTCCTGCTTTGGACAGAGTAATTGGACAAAGATTCTGATTTGCATCTTCAAGCAGAATGACAAAGAGGCTCCAAACTTAATGAATCTACTGTATTTAGGTACTTGCTAGCCTCAATTTCTCAACTACAGTAGCGGCAATCTTCCAGCTTGTATCTGTCACACACAGTGAAATAGAATTAGACTCTTTTGGAATTTTGGTTTATTTTGTTATTTAATATAATTGCATTTTTTGAAGAAAGGAATACAGGCCTTGCTTTGAGGCCTTCCAAAGTAGAGTTTTTCCATAGCCAAAAAAAAAAAGAAATTATAGTGTGGATTATTCATGTACTCTGAATGAATTTATGTGTTTGGATCTTGAATTTGAATTTGTGAATGAATTTATGAATGGAAAAGAAAAGAGAAGGGATTTGTTAAAACAAATTTAGCCTACTGTTGTGTTTAGATTTTGATTTTGTTAATGAATTTGTGTTTGGATCTTGAATTTGTGGATGAATTTATGGTGGGCAAAAAAGAAAAGAGATGGGATTTGTGAAACAAATTTAGCCTATATTTATTTATGTCTCTTTTTCTTTATTTATTTATTTATTTTTTGTAACCCAACCTATATCTTGTACATTACACAGACATGATTGACTTCCAAAGAATCCAAACTATCTTATTGATATGCTGGTGTGGACCTTCTGAGTCGCTTTCATTGTGTTTTGTGTTGAAGTTGTTCCTTCATCAACATGATGGCCCAAGCAATTGGTAAAGAAAGGAATTGCTTCACAGTGAGTACCATCCAAGACAACAAAAACAAAAAGACATACTAAACCCAAAAGTGGGATCTTGCGGCTGATCAATTTGACAAAGCAACTCTAACCCTTTTTTTTTCCTATGCAGATTCTTACCTGTAAATACAATATATAGCAGTGACTCTTTCCTGTAACTGATTATCAACCTTGGTTTTAAATAATAGTATTTGATCCGTTCATATCAAACAGTATTGGTCAAAATATTGATAAATATTGATATTGCAATTTCAAAGGGCATTGGAATTTGGAACCATAACCCACCCAAGATGTTCACTGTAACATCACCATGGATGTTCTTGATGTTCTTTCTTGTCAAATCATTCCCAACCAACTCATTTGCCTCCACATTCACTCTCACCAACAATTGCCCACAAACAATCTGGCCTGGAACACTCGCTGGTTCAGGGACACTGCAACTTTCAACAACAGGGTTCAAATTGGACTCTGGCCAAAGTGTCAAAATTCCGGCATTTCCAGGGTGGTCAGGTCGGATATGGGCAAGGACAGGGTGCAAATTTGATGAGTCAGGGGTGGGTACGTGCCAAACAGGGGATTGCGGTGGGAGGCTGGAGTGTGATGGCGTTGGAGCCGCACCACCTGCGTCTCTCTTTGAGATCACGATGGGCACCAACGCCGATGAGAAAGACTTCTACGATGTCAGCATTGTAGATGGTTATAATCTTCCTCTCATTGCTGCCCCACAAGAGGTGTTTGGAGTATGCAATGCCACCGGATGTGTTTCAGACCTCAACACAGGTAATTGATGATTTTTTATATTTTATTTTTCGTAAAAAAGTAGTATCTAGTGATTCGAGCGTGAAAATCCTGCCTAGGCATGACAATAGGAGCTCTTATATACTGGAAGTTGGACGAACGTGGCCTAGATGGGCTTGAAAACATAGGATTCGTTGGGGTTATATGCAAGTGCTCGCTAAATAGAGGCCAACTCAACATCTGATCCCAATCCCATGGTTAGATTGGCCTAAATGGGCCGGAAAACATAGGATTTGTTGGGGATTTATGCAAGTGCTCCCTAAATAGAGGCTAAGTCAATGTCTGATCTCAATCCCATGGTTAGATTAATTATTCAATCTCCTTGGAACACTATGTTGATGGTGTGCCTGTCCAATAGCAAGGGTATAACCTTGCATGACCACACACACACACACACACACAAAATCACAAAACATTGTTTAGGCACAACTATGTAGTGTTAAGAGAAGACTGAATAATTTCTGCTACCAAGATTATAGTGGCAAGGAGGAACGCCTCAGGCTTAATGGGCATGAATCTTACGCTTCCAACAACTACGTATAGACTTTCGACCTCCTGTCCTCCAAACCACCCGACCACCATCCTCAAATGTGTTACAAATTGTGAAACACTAAAATAGGATCGGTGGGACACATAAATAGAGATGAATAAAAAATATAAGTTGTAAATCACATACTACAATGCAATATAGGGTTACATTTGCAGTCACTATGATTCATGGTTGTCTTGTTGATGATGCTTAAGTAGTACTGTTGAAAATAAAAAATTTGCAGGTTGCCCAAAAGAGCTTCAGGTGGTCGATGGGGACAATGGTGGAGTGGGAGTGGTTGGATGCAAGAGTGCATGTGAGGCATTTGGGCTAGACCAATATTGCTGCAGTGGGGAGTTTGCTAACCCAACTACTTGCAGACCCTCTTCTTATTCCACCATTTTCAAGACTGCTTGTCCGAGAGCTTATAGCTATGCATTTGATGATGGTACCAGCACTTTCACTTGCAAGGCTTCCGATTATGCCATCATCTTTTGCCCCAATCTCGCTTCTGGGTACGTAAATCTTTAGTTTTTTTAAAAAATATTTGAAATTTGAACCTATCTTACAAATTTAAACTTGGTGGGGTGCACTACAATGAATTTGATCCACTAATAATATTATAATAACCACATTTATGCATTACCATATGATATGTTTTTACTGTGTGGGTGAAAGACAGTGGTGTGCCTTGTTAAACCAATGTAATAGTAAATACAATTTGATACATAAATATTATCATCATAACATTATTGTTTATCCACACATTTCAAATTCTAAGTGAGTATTTTTTTTTTGAGTTAATTACTACTTCGAAAGTCATTATCAACCATTGCACCTAAATTTTTTTTTCCTTTCTAATAGGGAAAACTTTAACTTGGCATGAATGCAGGAAGAAGAGATCAAATAGTGCAATACCAATACCAGCTCCACCAATGGTCCAATTTCAACACACTATTAATAGAGAGATCTCAGACATGGTTTCTTCCTCAAACATTCTTTGGCCCATTCCATTAATGTCAATAATCATTATAATACTCCTCTCCGTGAATTTGTTCTTACAAAAATAATGTTATATAAACAAAATTTGTATATAAATATTTGATATGTCACGTTTATATTTATACTCATTTGTAAGTTAAAATGTCTATCATGATTCGTAATTATAAGAATACTATTATCACATTATTCTGGTCTTAAATTCTATTTGTATATCATTTTCATCAACTAAAATATGTATTTTCTCAGTGCATTGTTTCAAGATTCCTTTCTTTAATGCAGTAACAAAAAAGCAAAAAAAAAAAAAAAAAAAAAAAAAAAATTTTAATTTTTTTATTTTTTAAAAAAAAAAAAAAAACAAAAATTTGAATTTTTTAATTTTGTTTCCAACAATAAGAATCTCACTCTCTTGACAATTGACGATTATAGAATAACATTAAAAACTTGTAAATCATCCATGTTAGATTTACCCACGTGAGAAACGTAGATCTTATTATCTTTTAAATAGATTAATAAATGATATGCAACAATGTAGTTGGTCGGTTAATGTGGTGGGTGTTTGGAAAGTTGCTATTTTAGTAGGTTATTTTAGTTTTTGCCTATTTTAGTAGGCTAAGTTTTTTGTGTTTGGAAAGATGATTGAATTTTTTTGTAGTTAGATATGATGTTTGTGAGAGAAAAAATAAAATAATTATAGATTTAATGTGATATTTTATTTTATTAACTATTTTAACTTATTTTATCTTTTTTTGTAAATTTTAACTGAAAAAATAAAAAAAATAAAATCTAACCTGCCAAACACTCCATGGTCAGTCCCTTCTGATCTACTTTTTACGGGCGCTTTTTCCCCTTTTAAGCCTAAAGGGGGAGATAGGGGATTGGGTTTTTGATATTGGGCCTAAACTTCGGGCCTATTCCAGTCAACCTAACTTTACGATTTTTACTTTCCTATAGTTTCAGATACCTTAACAAATTTGTTGAGGTAGTTCATTGGTTATTTAATAATTATTTTTGACTTTTTTTTTTAGGTACTATTCATTGAAAGAATAGATAGTAAAAGATTTTTTTATAATAAAATAGAGTTAGAATAGAAGTCTAATGGATAGTGTATTTAAAGAGATAGCTACATAAAAAATATAAAAAAAATTTAAATTATAATTTAACAAAAAATTTGTTGAGTCTTATTTTGGTGTATAAAGGATGCCAATTATCCAGCCAATTTTATGCCTAATCAAAGGCAGACCCAAGTCCCTTATAGCTTAGAAATCTTCTTGACATAGTCGAAGAATCAATCTTTTTATTTATTTATTGGCCAAAGGTGTCTGAGCATAGTTGCCTTGTTCTAGTCTATTCTTTAATACTGTATTTGGTTGAGAGATTTATGAACAAATTTAAAAAGGAAAAAGGAAAAAGTGTGTGAAATTAAATGAAATATACTAGGTATATTTTATTCACAATTCATATAATTTTTTCTTTTTCCTTTTTAAATCTCTCCTCAAATCCTCTAACCAAATACAACGTAAGCGTTTTAAATCCCAAAACCCATTCCATTTTTGGAGCAAATACATCCCCATTGCACATTCCATCCTTCCTTGTTACAACAAATGAGGATACCATGGAAAACTGATTGGAATCTATTAAAGGCATCTTTAACAATTTTTTTAAAAGAAGGCGGTTGATTATTATAACTAGTCTCATTTTATTTAATTTGTTCTAACAAATTAGTTAATACAATAATTATTTTAATATTAAGATAGACTCTTTAAATAATTTGTATGAATGAATTGGTTAAATAGAGAGTAATGTTAAAATATATGAAATAAAAAAAAAAGCTAGATAAACATAGTGTACTTTTTTCTTTTTCTTTTTTTAAAAATATTTTAGTTAGTGAAAAATAAAAAAATAGTTTTGAAGTTTCTCCTGGCTCAATTTGTAGGAAGTGGATTTGAATAGAATTTCTAAATCCACTTTGTGTAGCACCTTTAAAACAGACTTCCTCAACTCGTAACTATTGAAGGAATGACTTTCGATAATTGTATCAAACATAAAAACAAAAAAGTTTTTCAAAAGAATTTTTATACTCAGGAAGGATTTTAAAAAGTGGCTCCAAACGAAACCTATATATTTTCAAGCCATAATTGGTATCTTATTAAAAAGGCATAGTAGAAATTCCAAGAAAAATTACTATTTTTTTAAGCATTGATAATTACATCAGATGATGGGAATGTGAACTGTTATTTATAAAAAAAAATATGAAATTTGAAAGGCAACCGTAACAAACCCTACCAAAAATGGACAGAGATCTTTTGTCTCCATTTTCAAACACATTCTAATTCACGATTAAAAATTAATTAGTTGTGCCAATTCTTTATTAAAAATTAATTACTTTTGATATATCGTGTGACATAATTCCACTCCAATATTAAGCATTAAAGATTCGATTATTACTGTGGAAAATTTTTAAGCTTCGAATTCTATTAAAGATTCACAATGGCAAAAATGATTTCATTCATTTTTGGGAATTTTGTACTTGTTTTTATTCACGTTCCTTTATTTTTTTTCATAACTTTAGTGAGGGAAATTAAATTAAGTTTACATCAAACTTAAAAAATTCATAATTGCCGCCATGATTTTTTTTTTTTTTTAACTTAATGATTTTGTGCATGCTCTTTTAATTTTGAAAAATGCTTTGGAACTTTAATTTTTGAGCTCTAGAGCCAGCTTGGGTCCCACTCACTGTGATGTGATATTTTGGTCTTGATTTATTTTATTTTTTTCCTTGCCATGTCATTAGTGCTCCATTAGAGTACCAAAATTAGTAATCTAAATCATTGCTGTTAATTTTCTCCATATATATATAAATGAATTTTTTATTTAATACACAAAAATATGGGTTCCACTAAACATTTGTGTCTAATAGTAAAAAAAATCATACGAAAAATTTGTTTTTTCTTTTATTTTAGGGTTTAGGGTTTGTTTAGGGTTTATACAATCATTCCAAAAGTAATATCAAAGAATGTAGATGTCACGGCCCGCTCCCTGTACCCAAGCGTTAAGTATTGTGATGGCCAGTAACTGAAGTTACCTCCGGCCAATTCTTAAACAAATTACTAAACGCGAGCGGAAAAAAAAAAATTTAAGTGAGGGTACCAACATAATCATTGAAACTTCTATTTAATTAAGTTGTCAAACCTAAACTAAGTCTATAAAGTGCTTTGTGCCTACCCCACGCGCTGGCCCTAACATGTCACCGAAAGTGGTAAATGACTACAAGCACATGGTAGAGCGAGAAATATTATACTAAGAGCATAAGGGTATAAAATTCACCATGGATAATTATTGGCTAAACAAAGCTTGATATTAATAATATAGAGATCGTTTGACATATAATACAAAAATCATATAAACAAAATAATCATAATCACGGTATAGAATAGAACAGAACAGATGTATGGACTCAAGATGTGGCTTGTACGAACTTTAGAGGTGGCTCCCACCATAATATAGCACTTAGCTCCATACAATACTTTGCTCTACACCAGAAATAATAACTACGGTACAGAACAGAACAGATGTCTGGACTCAAGAGGTGGCTCATACGAATTCTAGAGGTGGCGCATACGAATTCTAGAGGTGACTCCCACAATAGTGTAGGACTTAGTTTCGTACAACACTTTGCTTCACACCAGAAATCAAAGGGTCAGTGGATCCATGACAGATTGAGGGTCACAAAGTGACTAATTAGAGGACCAATGGTTATTTAAATCCCCCAAGATATGAGACCTCCGTGGTGATACTTATAAAATAATTACCCAAAACACATTTTAATAAACAGTTATATTCATGGGTATTTCTTATTATATAAAATAAAGTTCATAAAATAAATAACATAATTAAAACACAATTTACGTACAATATATTATAGTAACCCAATATATAATATAACTCACATTTAGGTTAATTCTAACTTTTCCTTTCCGTTCACTGCTTCAAACTAAACGCAATGTTTTATATACATAAAAGACAAAACTAGAGAGAGAGAGAGAGAGAGAGAGAGAGAGAGAGAGTCTAGAGGGAATTGGTGATGAGGCTCACTGATTGGCACATCTATATATATAGAGTGAACAAGCGTGGGCAGCAAGATGCTTGGACAACACGATAACTTGGCGGGCATGTGTTTTGTTGCACACAAAATGTTATATTTTAGTGTATTTTGATCTAAAAAAAAATATATAGAAAAATATAATAAAAATATCATTATACTCGGAAAATAATATCGAATAATAATATAAAGTTAAAATTATTTTTTTGAAATCATTTATAATTAAATAATACTAATATAAAATTTAAAGGACAATTTAAATTTTCGAATTGTTACAATAGAGACCCGATCATTCCTATGAGAATTTTTGGAGCTTAAAATTCCATTAGGAAGGAAAAATAAGGAGCATGGTGTATTGATGAAGAAAGGTTAAATATGCATACAAACATTCCATTTTTCCTTTCAACCCAAGAAAATCCTCAAGTTGATTTTTTCCTAACTTGTAGGGAACTATTAACTTGTAGGGAACTATTAATGAAAAAATGGAAATCAAACTCAACAAATTAAGCCAATTTTAATTACCATTTATTGTCATGTTGATATTTTCCACGGTTACTTGATTATTGCTCCTTAAACATAGAAAGTTTCAAAAAAATCGCTATGCCTTTTTGTCCCTGTTAATGTATATATAGTATATATTCCTTGAGTTTGAGGGGAGATGTTAATGTATATATGGTATATATTCTTACATATATTAGGTATTGATTTCCTAGATATATTAGGTATTGCCATAGTTAGGTCTCTTATAGGATACTCTTTCTTATAGTTAGATTTCTACTAAGATACTCATTCTCAGCCTATATATACAGGTCTTGTATTGTATAGGACAATTAATTCAATACAATACATTCAATACAATTCATTGATAACAATACATATTCTCTCTCTCTCTCTCTCTCTCTATCTCTCTCTCTCTACTATTCTAACATGGTATCAAAACTAGGTTAAGTACCTAGTATTTTCGCTTTACCGGCGGGCGGTAACCTTGCTTTGGTCGCCCGCTGGACCTCAACCTATTTTGCTGTCATGTTTTCCTTTCAATATAGC